CTGGAGGCCACTGCAGCCTCGACCTGCTGGGCTCTGGCGATCCTTCCGCCTCAGTCTTCCAAGTAGCTGGAACTACAGACACGCGCTACCACGCCCAGCTAGTTTTTGATTTATTGTAGAGACAAGGTCTTGCCAAGTTGCCCGGGTGGGTCTCGAGCCCGTGGGCTCAGGAAATCCACTCGCCTTGGCCTCCCAAAGTGCTGGGATTACAAGCTGAGCCACCGAGCCCGGCCTACTTATTTTCCTGGTACATAAATTAATAAAACACATTTACTTTTGTAAAGACAACAGTTCAATTAGTTGGTTGATATTAGTCATATCCCTCTAGATAAAAGTGAGAGCAGCTCTTAGTCACTGAAGATACAAGAGGAGACCCAAAGAAATTCGGTATTTATTTATAATAACTATGTACTTATTCTTACATATTTAAACTTCAGTCACCTTCAAAGTACTCTGATGCAATATATCTATTGAGATGCTTTTTCTTTTTTTGAGTAGGAGTCTCACTCTGTTACCCAGGCTGAAGTGTAGTGACATGCTCCCGGCCACGGCAGCCCTGATCTGCTGGGCTGAGGTGATCCTTCCACTTCAGCCTTCCAAGTAGATGGAACCACAGGTGCATGCCACCACACTTGGCTAATTTTTTGACTTATTGTAGAGATAAGGTCTCACACCAAGTTGCCCAGGCTGGTCTCGAACCCCTGGACTAGGGCAATCCTCTCACCTCGGCCTCCTAAAGTGCAGGGATTAAAACCGTGAGCCAATGCGCCTGGCTGAGATGCTTTTTTCACTGCTCAAAACAGCTTTTGAACTCATCAATTTTGATGTCTTTTAGTACTTCTGCCGTTTTTTGTTTCAACTTTTCCACATTGACAAAACGTTTCCCTTTGAGCATTTTTTTCATCCAGGGAAACAAACAAAAAAAGTCACCGGGGAAGATCAGGTGAAAGGGACAGTGGGGCAAGGGGGTCATGCCGTTTTTGGTCAAAACTACTGAGCACACAGTGCAGCTGGGCAGGTGTGCTGATAAATCACCCATCATGAAATGGGCAAACACACTGAAAGAGTCGCCAAAAAAAAAATGAAGTTGAACACAGCCTCTCACAACAATGCTAGTTGGTACATTGATGCTGATAGGTTCCTAGAACACTGACTTAGTGGGGGAAGCCTGTACTACAAGGAGGCCACCCTCCAAAAGATAATTCTGGGGTTCTTTTGGTCCTCCTTGTATACTTTGTATTTGGCACTATGTAAATGCTTCATATATACATTGCTATATTCTATCCTCAAAGCAGCCCTAGAAAGGTGTTTTTTTCTTTTTTCTTTTTTTTGAGTTGGAGTCTCACTCTGTCGCCCAGACTGGAGTGCAGTGGCCGCTGCCGACCACCGCAGCCTCGACCTGCTGGGCTTCAGCGATCCTTACGCCTCAGCCTTCCAAGTAGCTGGAACTACAGGCGCACGCTATCACACCCAGCTCATTTTTGATTTATTGTAGAGATGAAGTCTTGCCAAGTTGCCCAGGAGGGTCTCGAACCCACGGGCTCAGGCAGTCCACTCACCTCAGCCTCCCAAAGGCGCGGGATTACAGGCTGAGCCACCAAGCTTTTTTTTGTTTCTTTTTCTAAGTAAGAGTCTCACTTTGTCATCCATGTTAGAGGGCAGTAGCATACTCACAGCCAGTGCAGCCTCTACCAGCTGGGCTCAGGTGATCCTTCTCCCTCAGCCTTTTTTTTTTTTTTTTTTTTTTTTTTTTGAGTTAGAGTCTCACTCTGTTGCCCAGACTGGAGTGCAGTGGCCGCTCCCAGTCACCGCAGCCTCGACCTGCTGGGCTCCGGTGATCCTTCCGCCTCAGCCTTCCAAGTAGCTGGAATTACAGGCACGCACTACCACGCCCGGCTAATTTTTTGATTTATTGTAGAGAGGTGGGTCTCGAACCCGCGGGCTCGGGCAATCCACTCACCTCGGCCTCCCAAAGTGCTGGGATTACAGGCTGAGCCACTGAACCCGGCCTTCCCTCAGCCTTCTAAGTAGCTGGAACCACAAGCGCGTGCTACCACATCTGGCTCATTTTTAAAATAAATGATTTCTAACTTAAGATTACTGAGACTTAAAATACCCAGAGAAAAGTACACATAAGTCTACAGCTCAATGAATTTCAAAAACTGACTATACCATGTAACCAAATCCAGAAACTCTGAAGCTGGGCTCGGTGGCTCAGCCTGTAATCCCGCGCCTTTGGGAGGTTGAGGTGA